AGCCCTAATGGCTGCTTGCAATGTTTCTTTCCTCAACAGCCAAGCTTCCTCTCCTACATATGATCATATGATCCAACCCACTGCCACATGATTCTTTCCTCTTCCTACCACTTCCCTCCTGCCCACTGTCAACCCATCCCACCTGTGAGAAGGTTTGCTTACACCAAGATCACTCACTAACAACCACTCAGCTAACGAATCAAATCCACAGTTCATCCTTTAGTCCTCTCTTTGCCTGACCTTTTGGCATAGTTGATACTGTCATCCATTTCTTTCTTCTTGAAACTTGTCTTGGTTTCTGTGACAATACCTTGGCTTCCTTCATCATTCTGGTTTACTTCTCTGCCTCTTAATTGATGCTTACCAGTGTTCTACCTTCATCTCTAATTCTCTCTCTGAGCTTTCTCATCAACAGGTATGATTACAATGCCAGATGAGCATTCCTAACCACTTACTGCAAAGCTTTACATAGGTTTTCCATAAGATATCAGATTCCACTTGTTCAATTCCAAACCCAACCTTCTTTCCCCAGAAACGTATTACTGTCTTCCCGAAGGCTCCCCAGGTAATTGCCACAACCATTTACCCAGGGTCAAGCTTCCTTCCAACATTCTCCCAATAAGTTAAACTTCAAAACTGGTTGCTACTATCACTAAAAGCCCTTACAATCTTGCCCTTATCTCTTATAACCCAATCTATAGCTTTCAGAAAATATTTTCCTTTTTTTCTTGCATCATTGTAATCCCCATAATTCTCCCACCACCATTTCACCAGTGAACTATCACCATATTCCCTTGTGCTCTTCCCTCACTTTTACTGCCTCTCCTCCTGCCACCTCCTTTGCTGTATGCTTCAGTTCTATGGTCAGCTTAGTTGCCTTTGACTTTTTCTTGACATTTCATTTGGTTTCTTTTATACTTGTATAAAAGTATTTATCTTTTTCTTTCTGACTAATTTCAGCTAGTATAACCCTTTCCAGGTCTATCCATGTAGCCACAAATGACATGAGTTTGTCTTTTCTGATTGCTGAGTAAAATGCCAGTGTATAAATATACCACAACTCTTCGATCCATTCATCTACTTTGGGGCATCTGGGTCATTTCCATATCTTTGCTACTGTACATAGGCCCACTCCACTCTCTTCTAACTTACATCACTAGAATGGCCTCCCAGTCTTATGACTCTACTCCAGTCTATTCTGCACCATGCTGCCAGGTTAAACCTTATAAGACACAAATTTAATCATGTTACTTCTTTAATTAAAACTGTCAATAGCTTTCCATTGCCACTAAGATCAAGTCCCGCCTCTCAGCAATATTCTTAAGACCCTTTATCCCATTTCTCTCCAAATGTATTTGAATCACATGGAATTATATATAGTTCTCTGAATGCATCATGTTCTTTCATGCCTCTCTCCAGAATATTTTGCCACAGCAGTCCTTCCTCTCAGAAATCATCCTTAGATCTTAAGATATATAAAACAGGGCTGATATATGTGTTGGTGATTATATTGGAAAAAATAAAAAGGTGGTAACGCCTGCATTATGAGCAGTGGCACAGAAAGCAGAGAGCTCGATGGTATACCATGCTGTCTTTACTGCTTTCACCACCACCACAATCAGTGTTTCCACTTCCCTCCTTCCTCCTTTCTCTCTACCACAAATACCACCTAATAACCCCCTCTACCACAATAAGAGCAGCCATAGCCTCGTTTGTGGGGTGCTAACTATGTCAGGTACTGTTTAAACTCTATTTCCTTCCTATTTGTTCTGTTCCCTGCTTCTGTAACTTCTTAATTCCCACCGTGCTCTACTCCCTCATCCATAACAATTTTTTTCTGACTCTAACAGTAGTATAGTGCTCACGGTGAAACCTTAAATTTAATGTCAACTAACATTTGAGAATCAATTAGTATTAGGTATCATTTTAAGCACTAAACATAAACTTATCTAATTCTCCAAACAACCCTATGAGATACAGAACACCAATTTAAATGCAGAGTGCTAAAATGATAAACGATTCCCTGGAAATTCATCACCTTTGGCAAATATTATTAGCATAAATATTATAGTGCACACCCTATTTTCATCTTACCAAACTTGGTAATTCTTAGGTTGCTCCTCAATTATTGCAGTGATGTAGTTCATTTCCTCATGTAGATCTTTTTGAAGAGATTTTAAGAGAACTCTCCGAAAATGCCTATAACAAACATGAAGCATTCAAAACTTATTACATCACATAAATTGTCTAGCCACATTACCAAATAAAGCCACAACAACAGATATCTTTTTGGGGGAAGTATTCTATAAAACCAATAATTTAGCAATTTAACTGCTTATGGTTGTTCAAAATCATACAACTATCTTGTGACTAGCAAAATCCTGTGTTTTTAACTAAAAGTGATGAAAGACAACAAAAATGAGATGGAAGAAAAGATAACTCACAATTATTTTCAGATAACACTCTGGCTAATTCTGTATAACATGAGAATCAAAAACAACAGCTCTATATGGTACAGTTTATTCTTTTTGATACATTATTCACATAGTAATTCTATTACAGACATTATTAAATACTTCACTTTTCAAACCACCGCAAAAAGACTATTTACAAATGAGACAAGTTTTCCTTTTAACTTCTTCATAGGTGTAGTTAAATTACTAACAAAAAATTTCCCTAAAGTTATGATTGTGGTCTATTTTTACTTTAAAAATTTAACTCAATATATAATAAGAAACAGCTCAAGAGCTCTTTAAAAGTCATCATGTAAAATTAAATGCTAGGGCCCTCCCTGGTGGCACAATGGGTTAAAGCACAGCACTGCAAGTGAGCTGCAGCCACTTCAGTGCAAGTTGGATCCCCAACCTGTGAGTTTGATCTCACGCCCGGAGGCAATCCACATGGCATAGCAGACCTCTCCTGACCTGTCTGCTGCTCCCTCAGCAGTGTATTTCATCAATCTGCCTGTTCTGCACTCCACTTTGTTTCTGGTAATTCCTCTCACCTCCCCTGCACCTCTGGCCTGTACCCCAATTCTGTACGCATAAGTAAATAAATCTTTAAAAAAATAAAATTAAATGCTAAACAAGAGAAATAACAGTACATTTCAATTATTACTAATTTACAGAAGATTATGCTTCATTGAACATGTACATATAAAGAGCTTGGTTTATATGACTAATGACTTCAAGTATAGTAGCAAATTTAGGAAAAGACCCAGCAAATTTAGGAAATGCATTTAAAAATGCATGACAAGTTGCTTTGTGCTATATTGTCAGAATCTTCTTAAAAATTAGGAAGGGATATATTAAAGACATAAAATGATGGCATACATATTAAGAATTCCAGTTAAACAGGGTATATTAAATAAAGTTCCCCTTACTCCCTAGTAACATAGTAAGGAGTAAAAAGTGACATAAATCCGTAACAAAGAGAATTGGGGACAAGAGGTTACTACAATAATAAGAAAAGATGAACAAAATTATGAAAAATGGTAAGACTTTTAACTGACTTAGAAAAGAAAACATCTAAAAATCTGTCAACAGAGAAAACAGGCATTGGGGGTTTTCTAAAATTTGGAATGAAGAGTGGGGTTGAAAAGATTTGGAGAATTCCCTAGCAGTCAAGATCCTTCCTTTAACCCAGGCAGAGACACAGTATTTCCTGACTTGAGCAAGAGACAGTAGCTCTTATTCTCTGGGAAAAGAATCAGAACCAGAAAGAAATACCTGACACACTAGAAGGGTGAAGAAATGATGGAAAAAAGAATTTAAAACACTAATTTACTAAACAGCAATAGTCCCACTCTTCAATCTTCCCCTGTCTGACAAACCCTAACCCCCACCCTCCAAAAAAACAAAACTGTGGCAGTCAAATATGTACTCCTTAGGCAATAATCAGACAACTGTTTTTTT